ATTGCTGCACAGATTTTACATTTACAGCTTTGATATTAAGATGCTTTTATTTGGGAGAGAGAATTTCAGCAAAACAGCTGAACTCCGTGAACATCTTCTGCATGATGCCAAATAGAAGATGACTAATTAAAAGTGAATCTTTAGTCAGAACTTACTTTTGTTTTTACTAGTTTTAGGTTTAAGGGTTTTATTGCGGTGTTCTGACTCACCGTTCTGTTAAATATCCTTACCAGGACATGGATAAAAATTAAGAAGATTTTTCCAATACTTATGATCAACTTTAAGGCCGCATTCACGTAAGCTAATAATCCTAGGGGCCGATGAGCAGCCTGGATGCAATCTGCCTGTGTCCAGGGCCAGACATCTGTCCCTAGCTGCAGGTAAACGCTGGGTGTGTGGATACATGAGGATATTGGCTGACTGTCAGCATGTCATTGTTTTATACAGGCTGAGCGGCTGCAACTGTGCATCTGTTTACAACCGCTTACCTCCATCTATGTCTGAACAACCCCCCCTGGAGTGTTCAGTTTTGGCAGACTTGATTATGATGGAACGGAGGTAATCATATGTAAACTGACATGTCCTCTCACACAATCTGGAACATCAGAGGGAAGGAGGAAAGAATCACCTTCCAGGTAAGTGAAGGCTAAAAGGTGCCCATACACCTTACGCCCATCGCAAGACTTTTGTCTTGCGATGGTCGTATGCTTATTGAAAGCTCATACGATCTGCCCACCTTGGACGGGCAGATCGTACTTGCGATCATCGAAAGTCCGCCCTGCTGAGGGGCGGGCTTCCGATGACGGCAATGCAGAATGGGCAGTGTGCGCGGGCGCCACCCGGCCCGTTCCGCAGCTATCGGACGAGCAGGCTAGAAACCCGCCGTCAATCGTATGATTCTCGGCGGGTTTTCGAGCATGTTGGTTAGACAGAAGACGTGCGATCGTACAGTAGAAACAGTCGCACGTCTTCGCTCACACTGCTTGATTCTCGTACGATCGCGGGATTTCGCCCGATTCTCGTACGAGTGTATGGGCACCTTAAGGCAGGTAAAATCACTTATTAAATGTTCCCCTAGCCCAGGTGTAGGCAACGTCGGCACTCCAGCTGGGCTGACATTACAAATCCCATCATTCCTTTGCCTCTGGGAGTCACCCCTGTAGCTGTTGGAGTTTTGCAATGCCTCAAGGTGTTGCACCACAGCCAGAGTGGTAAGATTGCCTACCTCTAACATGGACCAAAAACAAACAGCATTTAACCCATGCAGCCCAGACAGAGCCCCACTGCAATGGTAGTTTTAACATTTCTCCAGAAATACTCTACATTTTTAAGTTTAGTTGATCCTGTCTTCTAGCCTGTTTAAAGTGATACTATAGTCTTTTTACAATTTATATTAGTGTTTTGTTTTTTTTTGTTAGACATACATCTGATCGAAATGTAATCCAAGGCTAAAAGGTATTTTGAATCAACCTTTTGCTTCTCATTACAGCCTATATTGAAGTAGTACACAGTGGTTGTGCCTTACTATTCCTCTCTCTCAATGCAAGCCTGACTTTTTGGGGGGCTATTTATAAAGTCTTGAAAATAAAAGGACAGGAAAATGAAACCTGATTTGTCAATAGGGGCAATAGCTTTCATGGCCACTGTCTGATTATTTAAATAAAAAATGTAAGAGAAATACATGAGCTGCCATTTCTTACCTTCTTCGGACACTGCTAGATACCCAACTAATTCTCATTGGATGGGGGGGGGGGGTTCCATTTAAATGTTAATAAATAAAGAACTGCTAGCCAACTGCCCATGTGTACAGCAGCCTTCAGTTCCATATACTCCCTGTCCAGATGTTTGGAAGGAACTTACAGGGGTCAGAACCGCATGCCAAGCACTGGTGGAATGTCTTTTTAAACATGGCCTAATACTTTAAGTCACTAATGTAGAAAATAAAAGAGAGAAAAAAAAAAAGTAAAAATGCAGGTCTGCATACTTGTTCCAGGTCAGCAAATCAGTAAGGGTTAAAGCCATTGGATTGGCTTGACAGATGGGGAACCAGCATTTTCAAGAAAGGTCAGCAATGATAGCCTAGCCATGTATTTATTTTTTCTTTTAAGTGTAAGTAAACCCCAACAATTAACTTTTGTTCTTTGCTTCCCGTTGGGTCTGTAAAATATACAATTGGAAGAATTTTGATGTATCTGTTTGATAAAGTGCAAACCAACCTGTTGATCTTGTCAGAAATTCAGAGTGGCTAGTCTTGAACTACAGGATGAGTTGTCTCTATGTTGTAGAGATCTGAGAGTGAGAGTGGTTGAGTAGTTTAGCAAAAAGGCACTGGGCAGAGCTGACACCACTCCGTTCACATAAATGCTGTATTATCAGCCCGAAAAAGGATTTGAGAGCCGAGCACATTTCTGCCTCAGCAACAGGAATTTTGCTGTACTTGCAAGGTCTTTACAGGGATAAAACAAGGGGAAATGTTCATGTATTGCAGAGATGTACTGTACGTTTTTTCTTTTTGCCTTGACAAAGGCTCACTGATTCCGCCTGATATAGAGACAGCCCCTAGAGGGAGACTCTACAAGATTTATGTAGAACAATAATGAAAGTAATATATTACAGTAATGATTCAAAATAAATACCTACTAAATATATAAAAATCGTTTGCATTCAAGAGAAGTCAGTTGGGTTTAAAACAAATATAGGCTCACTTTGAAAGGCTTCAACACAAGCATAGGAACTGTATTATAGTCATGTGACTGTAATTGTTCAACTTCCATTTCTCACTGCATCGAGATAGCACAATAATTGCATAGCAGCTTCATTTCTTCATGTGGTCCTCATATGAAGTATTCCAAATTCAAATTAACATCATTTAAAGGGTTTCTAAACACTCAGCTTTTTTTTTGCATATATCGATTGCGAGCAAGCAGTAGATATATGCAAAAAAACCAAAAAAAACAACAGTGGTTTAAACTTACCCGTGTCTTCCCCGCGCGCGCTCCCGTCCGAAAATGTGAAAATTCTCAGGCGACAGCAAAGGATCTTGGGCACGCGCGGTTCACATTTTCAGCCGGGACGCGAGGAGGGACGCAAGGTAAGTCTATGGACGCGTGCACCCGCATGCAGACACTGTGGGACAGGAAGGGCCAGCAAGGACAGAGGAGTCAGCGCTGGATCGGACACCCGCCGTAGCGCTGGAGAGAAGGCTGAAAACATCAGGAAAAAAGATGATCGGATTAAGAGACATCATTTAAAGGTAAGTGCTGACATTAACGTTTGGGTGAGGGGGAAAAAAAAAAGGTTGCCTTTAATGTCACTTTAATAATGTGAGGTGCAGTCAGAAGGTACTCAGACACCACAACGTTTTCTTGGATAGGATTTAATTAGTAAAAGTTTATTATACATGTCTAATTGCACATTACAGAGATGTGCGCTGACACAATGGCAGAAACAAGATAATTAGCAGTGTGCTCCTCTAAAGAGAAAACAACGAATGTAAAACAGTAACGCAAGTCCCAAGTTAAAAAGTTGATAATTTAAGAAATACATTTTAAATACTGAAAATGCAGAGTAGCAAAGAAAAACAGAAAATGATTCAATCTAAAAATACCGGCTCTGGGGCAGTTAAATCAGGAAAATAATACTTTCAAGCCATTTTTGTTTTCACTAAGACAATGTGCAAAATAAAATTAAGACACAATCAGCAGCTTTAAATTCACCACAGAGACTGACGTCATCCTGAGAGTCCAAACAAGCTCAAGTACAATGGTTAGAGAAGTGGCAGAGGGGTCACGAAGTTCTGGAAGTTTTCAGAATTCCAGGTTCAGGCTTTGTTGGTTTATAGGAAAAGGTAAAGAGCACATAAGCATCTCATACTCATGCACACGCACCACACATACAAAAAGCAAGAACAACTATCTAGAAACACCAGCTTGCACAAAAGCTGCTAACAGTTTTACCAGTGCAATATGGATCAGTGGCGAGCAGCCCGTGGATCAAGAACCCGAGCAGGGATCCAAGGTATTTATACTGACCATACCTCCATATATCAAGCCATGTTATGCCCTACCCCCAATTACCAAAACCACATCTACAGTTTTATAGTTCTCCTTAGGGTAACGGGAGGACACAAACTAGCGTTGTCCCGTTACCCTAAGCTCAGTATACCGCAAGCTACAGCTACTGCTCGCGGGATACTGAGACAATTATGTCGGGATCCGCCCAGCTGCGTGAGTGACAGCTGGCTCTGCCTATCTAGAGGCAGAGCCAGCTGTACCCGCCCCCTCCCGTTACGCCAGTCAGGGCTGGCGGATCGGAGCGAGAATCCAGCCCCTCCCCTGTCACAGCAGAGAGCTGTGACAGGATCGAGAGGTGAGCGAACGCCGGTATGTGTCCGCTCACCTCCCGATCTACTAAGCCGACCTGTGACACTCTCATTGTCACAGGTCGGCTAGAACTATGAGGTGAGTGAAAAGCACTCACCTCATAGTTCTCCTTTAAGTTGTATGAAGCCTTTAATTTGGTACTTATATTTGGTTTTCAAGGTTCATATAGGAGGTAAAACAGCAGATAATCTATATATCCCAATAAAATAGGTCAACATTGTCTCCTATGGTGGCCATCAATAGGAAAAGGGCCCTAGCATGAGTGGCAGGTGTGCTGGTAACATAAACCAGACTCTCAACCAGGGTGGCTTCTGGCTTTGTCAGGGGTGCCTTCACATTTTCACTAAGGGGGGGGTGTAAAGGGGCTCCCGATGTGAAAGGGGGGGGGGCTTTTTATGTAAAAGGGGTACTGATGTGAAGGGAGAAGCTCCACGTTGTTTTTTTGTTTTGTTGTCTGAGGTCCCGCCTTAAAATCCATTATTTTTTTGGTTAAATATTATCAATATGATTGGGAGCTGGTATAAAGGGCATGACAATAATAATGGAGAAACTATTTCCTGAAAGTTCAAGTGACACCGTACTCAGGAGCTAAATCCACTTTAAGGGTGGGGCAAGATATGCAGTGCACATGGTGGTATGTAGTAAAGTAGGAAATAAAATGTAATGAACCAATGACATATCCTCTTTAAGCCAGTGCAACTTTTAAACATCTCTTGAAAAGACCACATGTAGTCAAGTCACTAACCATGTCCTAATAACTGGGTCTCAATATCTAGACAATCAATATATGAAGCACCACCTTTAATATAAAAAAACAAAAAATAGTGAGGGTTACAACCATTAACATTTAAAACTGTGTTCTGTCCTTGAGCAGCTCCGCCTGGGCTTAACTTCTTACAATATTTTTATACTGCCTTATAGCAGAGTTCCATGGACAGCCAAATAAAAAAAAAGAGTTGTTAGCTTGCAACTCATTACTCCTAACCCACCAATGTGAAACATTTGCAGGGTTTGGTATAATCATGTGAACGCTTTTGTATTATTCATTGCATCACAACCATGTAACTATGTCCACCCACAGGAACAGGAGATCTGAACAGTTCACATGCTTTGAGTCCTGCCCCCACTTCTAAATTGCATGGGTGACCATAGAGGTAGACATTTATGTATCTGAAGATGCCCCTTAGGACACAAAAACCACAGCAGCAACTATGATACTGATCAGCTGCAAGTTAAAGTCCTATACTCAAGACACTATTCTAAATGGCTGAATCTGCAGTGATAAGCCATGCCTGAGCACATTAGGGACACAATGGCAGTCAATTCCATCCATGGTAGAGCACAGGGAGTCATTGCCTCTCTAATGACAGGTCAGTTGATGCTTCCATATGTTAGCATTACTGGACGCTTTACAAGGGGAAAAACAAACCCCTAAACTTGTGCTTATTATCACTCACACATACAGTCAGTTGGCTCAAAAGACAGACAAGGACAAACCACTCACTCATAGGCAGACAATCAAAGGACATAATATGACGATATTCACATTGAAGCAGGTGACAGATGATGGACAGTGCAATTATTCTTGGGTCTGGGAAGGCATGTTTACATGGTAATTCATGGAGCGGGATTATGATAACTTGCTTAATAAGGGAAGCAAAATGCAAAGGGTCATGTCATATGTGGCAGCTAATGTAAATGAGAGGTCTACATTGACTCCCTCTTGGGCTACAATGCATGGTCTAAAGAGTGTCAAGTGCACTAAACACATTGAAACCAAATATACAATTCCTAACGGCTCTTCAGAGGATATCTTATTTGCATCAGAGTAACTTTTAATATGGCTACATTTCAGAATGTGTGTGTGGGGTCTGAAGGTGACCCTGCATGATCAACAACACTACTCTGCAGACTAATCTGATTTTGTTCCAATGCTATACCCGCATGTTTTGCCCCTTGTGATTATCAACACTTTCTTTCCAGTGCATTGCAAAGTCCACAGGCAGCAAACAGGCTTAGCGGGTCTTGAAATAGCGAGAGGTTACCACTGAGAATGAAATAAGGCCACCCTGCTTCTTCCAGTCATAGTACATGATTTAAATTGAAAACAAATTAGAATGGTATGGCATGGTAGATCATGGATGTTTACATAGGAATTTGTAAAGACATTTGATTAACCATGCCAGCCACTGACCAGGGAAGAAAATACAATGGTGCACTTTAAGAAGGACTAAGACACCTTCAAAATGAAATGAAAGTAGGAAAAAAAAATGTTTACACTCGTCTGCTTGTTTCCATGTTTTCTTTCAAACTGTATGAAAAGGCTTCCCACAATAATCTTCCACTCAAGAAATCCATGTCGGCAACTGTCTCATATCTGGCGCTTTCAGCAAACTGCATGGTTTTTCCCCCAGAGGCCTTTGCAGCACCTGTGCTTGGCAAGAAGCCATTCGATCAGGTGTGCCACAGTCCATCTCCTTTCTTCCATGTGCTACAGTTCATCAAAGTAACACACAACGAAAGAAACTGCTCTTCTTTGACGACTTCTCTGTAATTTTTACAGGACCTCCCCCACTTGGAGAGCTGCTTTCATTCTGGAAAAGAAAAAGGTTAAAATAGCCTACATTGCAGCAACGTCTAGTCCTGACAGTGTTGGCTCTACAGTAAGAAGGGCAATAACTCTCATAGGTTACTGTATATGAGCCAGTTGAGGAGACTTCTCCTCACTTCCTGTCTCTATGAACCCTGACAAAAGTTCTAATCCCCCCCACCACACCA